CGGAGGATGATTGCTAGTTTGTACCTACTCAACACGATGAGATCAGTACGAAGCAACTCGCTAATGCTCCTATCCATCAACCGGAGCAGTGCTGCTGGATCCTGGTGCTCTCCAGGGCTAAGGTAGCACACATAATTCCGAAGAAGTCCTCCATTATGCTGGATTTCAAAATCGAAAACTTTGCTCACTCTTCTTGGCTCCATTATACACAATCGAAAGCTTGCATCATTCGAAGTGGATGGGGTCCCATCAATTCCTGCACCTCCTTTTATCGGAGAAAAAAGCGCGGGTTAGTAGCTCAACCGAACTGCTGGAATTTCCCGGAACAGGTCGGAACATGATGAAACCTGTTCATGATTCGAAAACCTTCTAGTTGATTCTGAGAACTTGCGTACGGGTGTTACTGTGTACAATGATGATCTACTCTATATCAACACTTTACAAACGATGTGTACACTAAGCTGGTGTTAACGTTGCGTGGTGTAGATCTACGGTGCGAACGATGTGTACACTAAGCATGAGCTGCAACCCTTTTGAATTACGTTACATACACTGTGCGTACTAGTTTATAGTATGAATCCTACCAGTAAGTCCCGCCGGTATTCGCGCGCTTCATGCTTTTATGTGTACGAGCTCACCTCGAATTAATTCATACGAGCTGGTTCAAAAATGTCAAACTTATTGGGAGTATTGTGAGAACGAGTAAAGTGCGCGAAAACTGACAGGAATCATATCAGGTAACTGCCAACACTCCTTCGCTGCACCTCTAAGATTATAGTCTTTCCCATTCCCTCTTGATCATGCGAGTAGATATGTGGAAGCTGATGGTGATAGTTGATGGTTCTTGACAATCGATCTTCCTGCGATTGAATAAAAAATACCTACGTATTTTTTTCTCTTGTTGTGTGAAGTGCATTATAATTATTATGTTCTAGTTATGTGGTGTATTATGCCTTTGCTCGTAATTCAACTATTTATTCGAACTATCTGACAATCAGAATGTGAATAATAATAGTATCCTTTCGTCCATCTGAATGTGATTATGAGGTCATCCTGCGAAATTGAAGACTTTGATCAGTAGAAGTAGAATGTACCTGTGCACATACTTGAACATGTAGAAAAGAGGATAGTGGCAAGTTAGTTGACATGGCAATATTCTTGTGCAGTATCTACATGTAGGTTTTATTAGGACTATTGGTTATTAGGGTTGTCGTGGTGATTGGGTTAGTGAGGGAGACTTGTAAGAATTATCCATAAAAAATATACAATGATGACCCTCTAGTTCCATGCAGACCACTTATACACATTAGCTCAGTATACCTCTAACAAAGCCCCTATAGCTTGTGTGGTAAGTATCATTGTTTTTAATCATATGTTCGCGGGTTCGAATCCCCTCATAGCAGAAAAAAAGATGAAAAAAAGAAGAAAAAAAGTACAAGTTCTAAGATGAGTGTCATGCATTATTAGGGTTATTCAATGACGTCACATGGTATCACATGACATTGAAGTTGATGACGTCATTATTCATCCTTTGTAGTTAACATGTTTCGATGATGTCACATGACATTCAAGTCGATGACGTCATTATTCATCCTTCGTAGTTGGCATGTTCTGTATCAATGACGTCATACAGGTCACGTGGCGCAGCCACGTGACCTGTATGACGTCAGTGATACAGAACATGCCAACTACTATCTACTTGTAATGTTCCTGAGTGAACATCAAGTTAGTTCCCGCACTCCATAGATCAACTTCACTCCACAAGTCCCAGACAACAACTAAAGTTTATTTACATAGAACAACGAAAGATAAAGATGCACAACCAGGATCCATATATGTACACAGTACGGGAATGCATATGGGTAACCGATCCCGGAACGGATCGGGTACAACAACGGGACCACAACATCTCCCTTTTTATGTTCGAAGAGAGAGAGGTTACAGAGGTAACAGCTCGAAGAATATTTAGTCATATACATACAGAGGAGATAGGGTAGAGACAGACAAATACTACATGCACTTCACGATCATCAGTGTCAGCGACTGGAGTGATCATAGCATGAGCAATGACTAATGCGTTTACAGGTCGAGTCTGTTCAGCGGCCGGGATGGACGTGCTGATCGGCGCAAGGTAGGCTGGAACTCGACAACAGCGGATGGAGGCTCTGCAGGTGTAGTGACATTCAACTGCGGTGTTGGTGTTGGTTGCACATCAGGTAGCAACTTGACGTGGCGACAGTTGCGGCGGTACTCGGACAGGTTGTCAGTCGTGACAATATAGGATCTGTCGGAGACGCGGTCTGCAATCACGGCTTCGGAAGCGAGATCTTGCACCCAGACTCGGTCGCCTTGGGTCAATGGTGGCAGAGACTGTGCTCGGTGTGACGAGTCGTACGTCTCACTCTGTCTGTCTGTCTGCCTCACCTCGAACTTCCTTAGCTTGGCGAGATCAGGCCAACTTGGAGCGAGGGATTTCGCTGTACATGGGAGGTGTGTGCGTAAACGACGACCAAACAGGAGCTCGGCTGGCGAGTAGCCATTTGCGAGGGGTGTTGACCTGTAACTGAGTAGGGCATCGTTGAGGCTGTTGTTGGTCTTCAGGAGACGCTTGAATGTTCGAACTGCTCACTCAGCTTCACCGTTGCTCTGTGGGTAGTGCGGGCTACTGGTACGATGGGTGAGCTGCATTTGGGCTGTGAATGCGGCGAATTCAGCACTTGCGAACTGTGGACCGTTGTCCGACACAAGAGCTTGAGGGATGCCATGGATGGCGAACAGCTCGTGGAGTTCCTTGATGACGGCTCCAGAGGTAGTCTTCCGTAGCGGGATGGCGTGAATGTACCTGGAGAAGTAGTCAACAGCAATGAGGTACTCCTGACCGTCATGTTGGCAGAGGTCGACTCCTATTCTCTCCCATGGCAAAGAGGGAAACGCAGTTGGAGACAGAGGCTCTGGCGGCTGAAAAGTATGCTTGGTGCAGGTCAGACAGTTCTGCACGCATTCTGAAATGGCACGTGTGATACCTGGCCACCAGACGGAGGACTTCGCACGGGCCAGGCACTTGGTTATGCCTTGGTGACCGTCATGCAAAGTGGCAAGTGTAGCGTTGCGCTCGGATGACGGGACTACAATCCGAAATCCGTGGTACAGCAGACCGTCATGAACTGAGAGTGAGCCACGTTCGTTGCGATAGGCTTCCATGTCTGCGTTGACCTTGGTCGGAGGCTATGCTGGATTACTTGTTGCAGGACTGGATCGTCAGCAGTGGCTGTAACGAGAGCGTGTTGCTTGGTAGGACTGCATAGAGACGACAGGACAGCGGCGATGGTGGCTTCCGAGTCACTGTGTAGGTCAGATTCGGTTGCTGGCGTGTCAGGAAGAGGAGCTCTGGACAGCGTGTCAGCGAGAACCATGTTCTTGCCAGGCATGTACTCCGCCTGTACATCATAGCGCATGAGTCTGATCAGTAGACGTTGGCAGCGTAGAGGTACTCGGTCGAGGTCGCGCGTGTTCATTAGTGGGACCAGCGGCTTGTGGTCCGTCTGAATGGTAAATCGGGGCGCTCCGTAGAGGTATTGAGGGAAGTGTTCACATCCCCAGACCGAGGCGAGGAGCTCCTTCTCGATCTGGGCATACCGTTTCTCTGCTGCTGTCATGGTGCGTGAGGCGTACGCGACCGGCTTCCACTCATTGTCGTGGAACTGTAGCAGTGCAGCACCCAATCCATAGCTGCTCGCATCAGCCGTGACGATGGTCGGTGCAGACGGGTCGTAGTACGCGAGACACGGGGCTGAGGCAGCTAGGCGTTTGAGCTCTGTGAAAGCTAGCTCATGTGCTTTGGTCCATTGCCACGTCGCGTCGCACCGGAGTAGCTCGCGCAGTGGGGCGGCTACGGTCGACAATGACGGCAGAAACTTGGAGAGGTACGTGAAGAGTCCGAGTGCACGACGGAGCTCTTCCACATCAGCTGGTGCTGCGAGGCGCTCAATGGCATCCAGCTTAACAGGGTCAGGGTGTACACCCTTGTCGCTGATCCGATGGCCCAGGTACTTTAGGGACGTGCATCTGAACTTAGAAGTGTTCGGATTCAGTGTCAGACCGGCATCACAGAGTCGGTTCTCGACGGCGAGCAGAGCAGCATCATGCTCAGCCATCGATGAAGCATAGACGATGATGTCGTCTATGAACACTGCTACGTTGGGAATATCGCTGAGTAAACCTTGTAGCTGGAATATCTCAGGCGCGCTCGTTATGCCGAAGGGAAGGCCCTCGAACTTGAAGCGGCCATAGGGAGTGATGAACGTCGTCAGCAACGACGCTTCCTCGGAGAGTGGGATCTGCCAGAAGCCAGACGTGGTGTCCAGCGTAGAGAATATGGTAGAACCGTTGAGTTGTGTGAGTGTGTCGTCCACGGTCGGTAACAGGTAGTGCTCTCTCTTGACGCTGGCATTCAGGCGCTTGAGGTCTACGCATACACGCACGTTGCCGTTCGGCTTGAGGAACGACACGAGGGGTGAACACCAGTCGGTCGGCTGCTCGACTTTTGTGATGACACCTGCTTTTTCCATACGCTCCAGCTCGGTACGAACCTTGAGGCGGATGTGTATTGGAATGCGTCGAGCATTTACACAGTTGTATGGTTTGCAGTCTGGCTTCAACTCAATATCGACTGGCTTGCCCAGCATGCATCCGATTTTCGGCTGGGCATCTGAAGAGCCAACATGAAGACGTTGTACTAGGCCCATCAGTTCAGATGTCTGCCTGCTCAGCAAGTTGACACCACCAGTGGCAATGACCAGGATAGTGACTGGGTACTGTACATCACGGAACACAGCAGAAGTGTGGAACTCACCCTGTATCGTGAGCTGGTTCCCATCAGGCCCAATCATTCGTGTCTGGCACGGACTGAGTACTGGCGGTGCAGATAAAGCGTTGTAGCTGGCCTGCGTCATAATGTTGAGATCAGCTCCAGTGTTGATTTTGAAATCGAGGTGTGAGCCTCACAGATTCAGTCGTACTATCCACGGCTCGTCAGCGGTGTGGGTAGAAGCAGCTCCAAGGAAATTTTCGCCGACGGGGTCCGACTGCAAGTCAAACTCAGCTACATGCACATAATCGTTGTGTGCTGCACTGGCGGAGGCTGACCGGCAGACGCTGGCGAAGTGTCCAGACTTACGACACTTGTTACAAGACTTGTCCTTGGCAGGGCATTCGTCACGGTTCGATTTGTGGTCTTCGGAGGAGCCACACCACGAGCACTTCTTACTGTTGCTCGAGTCTCGTTGGGACTTGACCTGTGGTCGCTTTCCCATCGATCCGTAACTTGCGTAAGCAGGGAACTTGCCGTGTTTCCGCTGCGGTGAGGTAGCTGCAGCAGCTTGGCTCACTCGGGGCGTTTGCTGGGCGACCTCGGCGTTTACGGACTCCGTTTTGCGTGCCAAGCTCACGGCAGTCTCGAGTGTCAGCGGAGCGTGATCCTCGAGCTGTAGCTTCTTCGAAACTTCTCGGTTCGTCATATGGGCCACCAACCTGTCGCGGATACGCTCATCGGGCTTGTCAAACGCGCAGTATTTGGCTGCGGCACGGAGACGACGCACATACTCTTCCACGGATTCACCAGGGTTCTGGACACACCTTTCAAACAATGTCCGTTGGTGGATTACGTTTACACCCGGGCGAAAATACTTGTCAAAGGCCTCCAGTACCTTGTCGAGTTTCTTCTTATCATCCGAGGACAGAGATAGAGACTCAAAGATAGGATCGGCTTCGGCTCCCATGGAGTAAACTAATGTGTCTACTTGGCGTTGCCCGTCCGCCTCGTCCAATTTGGACAAAGAACTAAAGCGTTCAAAACGGGTCTTCCAGAGTGGCCATGCTTCTGGGGTGGAGAAATCGAACGGGGCAGGTACAGGAAATTTGGCAGACGACATGACTAACTGCTACTTCTGACACCATGTAATGTTCCTGAGTGAACATCAAGTTAGTTCCCGCACTCCATAGATCAACTTCATTCCACAAGTCCCAGACAACAACTAAAGTTTATTTACATAGAACAACGAAAGATAAAGATGCACAACCAGGATCCATATATGTACACAGTACGGGAATGCATATGGGTAACCGATCCCGGAACAGATCGGGTACAACAACGGGACCACAACAGTGTGCCTCCAGCTGGTCGAAGCCATGATCGGTCTTCAATGACGTGTCCGTCCACTTCAACCACCACTCCAAGACCGATATCCGATGCATCACACCAGATCACATACTCGACATCTTTGTCTGACGGTACTTGCCAGCTTCCTCGCCATCACCAGTGACTCTTGCGTCCAGCTGACGACAAAACTTGGCAACTTGTTCGGATCCGGGCTCGTTACAGTCTGCCTCCATCACTGTGAGGTGCTTGATGTAACTGCAGGCGGGGCGAAGCCAATTTACAAACTGGCAGATGACCTGTTTGCTTACCGCACCATTTGAGTACGGCACGCTTCATCAAGACATCTGGTACACAGAGGTCGCTGCCATCTCGGCATCGCCAGGTGACCGCGCTTCCGGCGTCGCACAGCTGCAGGCCCAATACTCTTGACTCTTCCAGCGGCTCGGCGGGCTTCATGGGCAGGCTGTACTCAAGCATCGTTTTGGCACCGGCGTAAGCGCACTTCGACGGGGTCAGCATATCATCGATGTAACTGTCAGCGTCCGGGTAACCGCGCGTTACATAACGCGATGATCCCCATGTACGTGGGTGCAATACTGAGCCTAAAGCCCATTCGTGTCATCACGTATGGCTTTCCGTTCCAAAAGACAGTCTGGTACTTCAGAAACTCCTTAGCGACGTGGACTTGGAGATACGCTGTCTTGATGTCCAAGAGCTTGAAATCTCCCGTGCAACCAGCCTTTCTCCACTTACGCAGAGACTCCTCACAGGGAGGTGCATCACCATCAGGATCCGATTGCAGCTGGGCATTGAGGCAACGGTAGTCGAGCACTGGTCGAACGGGTGTTGTTACCTTGTGGTCTTGCACCTGGGGAAGGAGCGGTGACACTGCTGCTGGCTCACCATGCACAATCGGATCGTGTGGAATCAGCCACTCAGTCTCGATCCACTTTTCGGCTTCAGCACAGAACAGGGTGTCTTGTTCTGGGGTGAGCTTCTCTCGCGAGTGAGCTCCGATGCCGGATCCAAGCGTAGACGCTGGGGCAACACCATATTTCCACTGCCAGGAAAGCTCACACTCCCATTTCTCCACTTTCCAGCGCACTTCGCCATCCTGCGATCAGAGAATTATGTGACGCCCCATCATGCTTCACGCTGACATGAGGCGACTGGTGCGCAGTGCTAACAGACGCTACAACATCAGGCTTGGCGGGTCCAAACCAGATTCAACTGGTTCCGGGTTTCGGCACCATGAGCTGTAAGGGGACTACTGTCTATCCTCTACCATGGCACACCAACCAGCAGAACACAAGTCTTCAATTACAGATAGGAATACATTTCGAGAAAGAGAGAGAGAGAGAGAGAGAGAGTAAAACTACAAGTATCGCCTGTATCGGTAAAACATCGTCTAAGTCAACTAACCGACCAAGAGTACATGAACCCATGTACTCATGGGTGAAATAAAATAATCGTCTCGAGCCAAGAAAGGATCGCGCATCAAGACGGCAAGGAAAAATGGCGACTTACCTCATCACGCTCACATTATCCATCAGAAAAGTACTTTTATTGAGTATAATGCACAATACATTACGAAGTGAGGCAGTCTCATGCACAACATTCTGATCAGTCAATTGACAAACTGTTTACAAGCTAGTGCTGGAAAACCCCAATACATGCTTTAGTGCTGGGTACGAGATTGGTTAGTTTGCATTCTTTTTGAGCCAAAGTAATGTTGCAATATTCCTCTTGTGGGTTGAAAGGCATATGATGGGCGCAAGCAGACAATACTAAGAACTCTTTTGAATCATTTTATGGACATCTCTGCACACACCAAAACATTCCTGTTCACGGGTGTTGAATTGATGATGAGTGTGTCCATGAGGTCACATCAGAAATGATTGAGACCAAGGCTTATGTGCACCGGATGCATAATGGGGGTGCTTTGTGCAGCTATCAGTGCCGGGCAGCAGAGTCACCAATATTCACAGGTACTTTTGGAGTAAATCTATCGGTGGGGTTGCTTTTTCAGCCTGATACTCCCCAGCAATTGACATAATTATAGCAAGCACAGTAGTACTCATTGGCAAGAAGAGTGCTGTAGGAGTAACTGACTACAGCAAGGAGAGTCAATGATAAGGATTGCTTAACTTACCCTGTTCTGCACAGAGATCGTGCCGAGTCGGAGATCTAGTAGATACTTGACAACTTTCAGATGTCCATTCAGGGCAGCGCAATGAACAGGAAGGTAACCGGCCTGTGTACAGGTAACACACATGACCAGACATTCCTATGCGTTATCCATCAGAAAAGTACTTATATTGGGTATAATGCACGATCCACTACGAAGTGAGGCAGTCTCACGCACAACATTGTGATAAGTCAATTGACAAACTGTTTACAAGCTAAAGCTGGAAAACCCCAATACATGCTTTAGTGCTGGGTACGAGATTGATTAGTTTGCATTCTTTTTGAGCCAAAGTAATGTTGCAATATTCCTCTCGTGGGTTGAGGGGCATATGATGGGCGCAAGTATACAATACTAAGAACTCTTTCGAATCATTTATTGACATCTCTGCACACATCAAAACATTCCTGTTCACGTGTGTTGAATTGATGATGCGGCCCTTGACGCCCTCAAAGTTGTACAAGTGGTAGTGTGCTCTTGCGCCATATGAACTGTGCATGTGCTGTACTTATACGCATGCATGCTTTCACCAAAGTGTAAAAAACCGTGCCAAACAAAGAGAAGAGTAACATCAAGTTTATAACCCCCCAAGAGTGTGCAACTCTGCATATGTGGTCTCCGACGGCGAAAACTCACATCACGTGTCTCAGATATCTTCGTACTACATGCAAACGAAGGATAGCGTGCGCGAAATCCGAATATCTGCCATGACCATGCTGGGGATTTTCATGCGCGTAGTGAGTTTCTGTCAGAGAGTGCTTTTTTATTACTCCGCTGCTCGCTAAAAACGGGCTGGAAACGTACCACTGAGACACTGCATCAAGTGATGTGAGGTTTCGCTGTCGGCGTACCTCATAGAAAGGGTATCAAGAGTTGCACACTCTTGGGGGGTTATATACTCTTGGTAACATTCATTTCAGTTGAGGACAAGTAAAGAAGACGGAGATCGTTTCGAAACAGTTTATTTCATACACAGAGTAGCAGGGCTTCAATATTTCGTGTGGCCACCGTTTGCTTCGATTAGGGCTTCAACACGACGTGGCAGTGACTCCACTCATGGGGAAACCGTGTCAGGAGCCACCGAATCCCACTCCAGGTGCAGTGCCTGCACAAGCTGGTCAGCATTCTCGCAGCGAGGTGGAATTATTCTCTTCTTGGGAAGAGCACACAAATTCTCAATTGGATTCATGTCCGGCGAGCAGGGAGGTTGAAACAGGATGTTGGGTTCTCCGCTATCGAGAAGATCCTGCTGTACTTGAGCTGACGTGTAGGAGGTAGCATTGTAGAGCTGCAAGGACCACTTATTTGCAAAGAATCCGATGCCACTCGGTACAATGTTGGCTGCCATTCCTTGGGCGAACGTTGCTGCACTCCACGTCGGAGCAAAGGACAAATGCCGAACGGTTCCGAAAAGTGAAATGGCCCCGATAACGTGCACCTTTTTTTGGATAGTGTGGCACCTCGACTATTGGCTTGTTGTCCCGCGGGTACCAGGACATAACACGTCCGTTAGGATCCAACGCAAATCATGTCTCGTCTGCAAAGACAACGCGGTCAAAGTCAAACTGGCGATGCTCAATTCCCCATACTAGCCGGCTGTTTTTTGCTGCTTCTTTCAAAACAAACTTACGCACCGGCCGCCCGAACCGGTCATTATTCTGTCTGAGGCTTTTGTGTACTGTGCACCAGGTTGCTCCGTGTCCAGAACGTCAGAAATAGTCTCATTGCTCGCAAAGCGATTGGCAGCGATGTGATCAGCAACAAACTCCATGCCCACAGGTGAGAGTCTCGGGATTGTTCCGCTGCCTGCCTGTCTTGCTACGCATCTTCCAATTTCAACTCGATTGCATGTCTCCTTTACCTGACCATGGACAATAGAATCGAAGATTGTTTTGTGATTTGTTCTCTATTTTTCACATTATTGATGATCTGTTTCACTTACCTGAGTCTTCTTGTAACCGGTTATGTCCATAATTTGTCTCGGAGTATGACCTGCTCTGTAGAGGGTCGCTATTTTTTCTCGTCTACTCAATTCATTTCCTCCAAAGAACTCATTTTTCTCCATTTTTGAATAGGGCTTGCGAAGAAAACTGTCGAGAATGGGATTGCGGAGCATGTTTGTGTGCCCTTTGTTTGCTGTTCTGTCTGCACTGTGGACTCTGTACGAGATTTTGGGAATGGCCATGTCTTTCTTCTCTATCTCTTCATGAGCTGTACTCCGTGAAGTGAATAGAGATCTTTCGCATTTGCTGCGAATCGAATGTGAAACGAAAGTTTGATTCGGCTCGTAATCGTTTCGTTGAAAGCAGATTCAGGTTTCGCAAGTCGTCATGCCAGTACTACTCCCCTGCTAAATCGAATGCATGTATGTGATCTACAGGTTTCTGTGCACTTGAGTATGTTTCGTTTCATCTGGCGATGTTTGCATGATGCATGTAGCACCCTATTTCAGTCCTTTTTTGCTGTCGTGCCCTCAACTCGCACTCGGGGAGGCCAAAGCAACTTGCTTGTGGTTCCACCTGCTAGCACTGCTCGTTCTGCTAAGCGCCTAACGCACGGTGGAGCCATTACGTGGAATAGATTGCCAC